TCATCATAATTGCAAATATCATGCATGACTTTATTGAACAAATGGGGTTGCATTCTATATCTTGCTAAAAAATGAACATCAGAGTACAGAGATTATGGGATAAAATAATCTTCCAGAATATTCTTACCCCGAGAATGTCTATGTCTATCCACATTCGATGCCCGGCCTTCTCGTGAACCACGACGGCTCTGGTTTTCTTCCTCCATCAAAGCAACGGCCACACCAAGTTGCTCATCTAGTTCTCTCTGCGCCCTTTTGCTTGCAGCTCTTTTGCGCATTCTTGCTCGCCTTTCTCGCTCTTGCTTATCTAAAACATCTTCCATGTCTGACATTGAGAATGGAGAATGAAATCTAAAATCTGATAAATGAAATCTAAAATATGAGAAATGAAGATGTAGAGAAGATATGGTGTGGGAGGTATGAGCTGAGCCTCTGGTTTTATTGAAAAATTTAGACAGATAGAGATGACACGTAGCGCAATTTTAGAGGATGAAAATCTTATCTGAAATTTGAAATTCAAATGAAATTTGGAATTGGAAATGTATCTGGAATTTGAATTTCGAAATGTATCTGAAATTCAAATTTTGAATTTATCTCAAATTTGAATTTTGAAATGTATCTGAAATTTGAAATTTATCTGAAATTTGAAACCGAAAATCTTATCCGATATGAATAGTATTGACACGTAGGAACTCAAAAATCTTATACGAAAATATTATCCAAATTAATTGTTTAAATAAACAAAGTTGTGAAAAAAAACAAAAAAATGAATAGTAATTGCCATTGCAAGAGGCTAATTGCTGGAAACACACATTTGCTGGGGGGAGCTAGGGCAGCCACTATTTACGTGAATAGTAACTACCCTAGGGCTCCCATTGCCATGGCAAGGGGCTAACTAGTGGAAGTGCTCTAAAAAACAGAAAACGCACCAATAGTTGTAGGGCTATTGTAGCAATAGTCCTTCAACTATACTCGTAATTACATTTTTGTCTTTTAATTTCAAAAATAGTTACGGAGGTCCCCTTAATTGGATATTGTGTTGCACCATTCGTCCTTCTGTTAGTTTTATCGAGATACTTTTAAAGGCAAATAAGACTTTTACCCAACTAATAACACCTTTGTGCACCCAAACCTCTCAACCCAGCCACCTAAACGATCAATCCAGCCGCTCAAACAACCATCCTCCTGAGTCCCGACGAACAATTTATTCTACGAAGGGCATTGACTTTAGAGTAGCTCAAGCTCTTCTCCAATGGCAATCACTAAGCTGTCACTTTCAACCATGTATTTCTACTTCTTCTTTATCTCCACTTTACTCCTTCAAACATTTTGTATACGGGTTGACGTCACGTTAAGTATAAACATTCCAAAATTTGCCCCTGAGATTGACGACACTTAAGAGACACTTGACGGTGATGACAAACAGTGCTGTCAATTTCAGGACCAAATTTTTGGAGTTAATGAACGAAAATGTAACTACATGTATAGTTTAGGGGCCATTGCTACAATTAAGCCATAGTTATAGTATCGAAGGTTTTTTATTCTTCGTTTGAAATAGAATTAGCAGTTAACCAAATGTGAGGGGGAGATAAGTGCCCTATCACTAGAATTGAACTTTAAGAGCAGTTCCAGCAACTCAGGCTGGGGAGAGGGGGGCGGGGAGTGAGGGCCCAAAAACTGTTTCCAACAGCAAGGGATGGACTTGGCAAGAGGTGAGGGCCACGAGACTGGGATAGCCTGAGGTGGAGGCGAGCCTTCAGCTCTCTCATTTGAAATTTTTTTACCTTTGGCACGTGCGTTAAAAAAAATTCCACGCGCGTGCTACAGTAGCCGCCAATAGCTAGCAGCCACTTGGCGTCGTCTGGGCTCTCTGATCGGATTTTTTCCTCCAATCCAATCGTAGCCAATTTTTTTGCAATAAAATAATGAAAACAATTCGATTTTTTAATTAAAAAAAACCCCAAAATTAATGAATATTTTTTTCTATAAATACCAACCAACACTCTTCACTTTTAATACCAAATCCTCATATATTTTCTTCTCCTTCAACTATTTTTCACTTTCTACTCAATATTTTTTTCACTTTCAAGTTTTATTTTTCTCTATCATCTTATGGCTTCTTCTATTGAAATTGGAGGGGCATGGAGTATTGGTTTTCTTTGAGTGAATAAAGAAAGCATTCAATAAAATACATTTTTATTCAAAACATTCCATACATAAAAAGCAAACCACAACCAAAACATTCCAAAAAAAAAAAAAAAAAAAACCACAACCAAAGCATAAAAAATAAACAAACCACAACCAAAGCATAACTAAAAATAAAACATAAACATAATAAATTAAAAAAAAATATTCACTTCACTTCATTCACCGTCATTGCCTTTCACTGCTCATAAATGCTTCATCAAGTCAACTTGACGTCGTTCATGAATATAAGACGATTGCATCTCTGTATATCGATCAATCACACGGGTCATGAAACAACCGTACCTAACCAACGGTTCATGCTGCACTGGTTCCCCATTTGGGCCCATTGGTTTTTCATAAATTCTTGTCAAGGTTGTGTTCATGGGATCCGGTTCGTACACGTCTACAGCATTGTAATCATACTCATCCTCCACAATCATGCTATGGAGGATGATGCATGTCATAATTATGCTCCTCAACACCTCCTCATCAAACAGACTCGCCGCACCCCTCATAATAGCCCACCGGGCTTGGAGGATACCAAAGCACATTTCCACATATTTTCTGTAACCCTCTTGATAGACAGCAAATAATTTTTGCATCTGGGATCGGGGATGGGGAATTGATTTCACAAATGTGGTCCACTTCGGGTAGATGTCGTCAGCTAGATAATACCCATTATGGTAGATGATATTCTTGATTTTGTTGAGGCCCAAAAAATCCACGACTTGGCCCAAATTGATCCTCGACCCAGCGCAATACCTTATTGAGAAAAACCCGAATTAGAGCACACAAAATTCCGCCATGCACGAGTCACACTCCACGTGCCCTGACAAATAAATAATTCGCCATGCTAGGAATCGAGATTAAGATTTTAAAATGCATTAGCTCTGCAAATCCATGCTAATTATCCCGTCAAGCATAATAATTAAAAGCATGTCAAGCGATATGTCATGCCAAGCGACATGTCATGCCAAGCAGGAAATCATTACTACACACCCAACCAAGCTACAAGCCAAAGTGGGCCCAAGCCACTCGAATGCCCGGGTCTTGCTTGAGTGGGTTGTGGTATGGATAGTAACAAATTGTCATGAGGCCTATTGATGGATCGAGAAATAGAGGTTTCGGGTTGCTTGGGAGCCCCAGAACTCAAGCTCATTTCTTAGGCTCAAACATGTGGGTAAGCACCAAGGAGAATATAGTCCATTACCTTAGTCAAAATAGCCCATTAGCTTAACCAAAATTAGCCCAATATCTCAACAAAATAGGCCAAAACTTGGAGAAGTTGGTCCATTTATTTGATAAGTGAACCCATTGTTCTAGAAGGCCCATATAATCAAAATAAAACCTGCAAAGCCATCAGCACCTGGCTAAGAAACAAAAGCCACGTGAGCTGCTGGGAGGGAAGGAACAAGTTTTCAAGCAAAACATCCAAGGGACCAAAAGATATTGGCGCGCAAGAAGCCACCCTTCAAACCAGCATTTATACCAATTTCTTTCTTTCATCAGATCTGACCATGAATTAGGAAAAGAAAAAGAAGAAATGAGATATCTGAAAATAAGAATTCTTCACTAGTGCAGTTGCAGGAAAAGAACCTTAAGCTCCCAAAATCCTTGATTTTATGCAAAAGAGCATAGTAGATTTTACCAAAATATGATGATTGAAGGGATGAGGGGAGAAAGGAATGGAAAGACTTGGCAAAATGGGATGGAAGCCATTAGGGTTTCTTGGAAAAAGATGGCTTCCGGCGGCTACAAATAAGGCATCTTCTATCCAACGAAAATCAGCCACATATAGAGAGCAAGCTTCCTTTCTTACCTGCAAAACCCAGCAATTTCGTGCACTATTCACCCTTCTTCTTCATTTTCCCTATTCTGGCAGGTTGTTCTAACACTTGACAGAGCCTCTGTCAAGCTGCCGGAAGAAACGCTCAATCCACCCTTTAATTTCTCTCCCTTCTCTCTTGGCCAAATCTTCTTGCAAACCTTTCCTCTCTTACCTTGACACCCTTTCTTCCTTCCAAGAACACATAATTTTCTCCTCAGTGCTAAACTCATGCCAATTTTGTTTCCATGCCATGATCTCCTCATGCCAAGCTAAGAATTCATCTGTAAGCACTAAGAATCTATCTATAAGCAGCCATTATTTTTGTTGGTGAAGGTGACCAAGGTGTTTCCTAAGGATTTACTACCCTTTCGAAACATTTTGGGGTTTGATATTTGAACTCAGACACAAGTGATATTTTCTTCAGTTTGCTCATTACGGCAACCCATCCCATTTGTAGTTGCCGGAAGAAAAAAGCCCTTACAGATTTCATAAGTGATCTTTGGGAATTCACCTCTTAAAACATTGTTGAACACCATGGATTTACCTAGGACATTCAAGTCGTTTCGAGATCCGGCAACTCCGAAGAAGGGGTGTCAAACCCATGTATCGAATCCAACAACGGCTTTCATAATCTCCTTGCCAAGTAGTTGGGCAATTCTTCCATTGCCAGTGCATGCAGTCGATACTACCAATCATTCCTGGAAATCCTCGAGCTTCGGCTTTTTGTAGAAGCCGTTGCAGGTCCCTGAGCGTAGGTCTGCGCAGATAGTCCCTGATGTACAGAGTTTCGATTGCCTCACAAAATCTTACCAAGCTCTCCAAAGTAGTGAACTTCCCCATCGTGGCAATCTTATCCACCTGATCAGCAGATGAACCATATGTCAACATTCGTATAATAGCTGTAAACTTTTGCTTAGGAAGAAGTCCCAAAACCCAAGCAGCATTTTTCTTTTGAACAAAGTATACATTATAATTGCAAATATCATACATGACTTTATTGAACAAATGGGGTTGCATTCTATATCGCACTCGAAAATGAACATCATAGTACAGAGAAGTTGGGATAAAATAATCTTCCAGAAGATTCTTACCCCGAGAATGCATATGTCTGTCCACATTCGGGTCACAATCGACTTGTGAACCATGGCGGCTCTGGTATTCTTCATCAAGCAAAGCCACTGACGCAATTTTAGAGGGTAAAAATCTTATCTGAAATTTGAATTTTGAAATGTATCTAAAATTTGAAATTTGAAACAGAAAATCATTTCTAAAATTTTAATCCGATTATGAGATATGAATTTTATAATA